TGGGAAAACACGAGAAAATATGGCTAAGGAAAGTTCTGGCATGCGTAGGGAAAGGCATTTTGATGGAACCATCCTGACCGGTACGGTCCAGGTGAGCTCCAGTTCGGATAAAAAAAAGGATGTCCCGTGGATGTCCGTTATCCATAAAAGGTTATTCTTTGGACATCCGGTGGATATTTTAACGGGGAATATGTCTCTTTCTAATCATCCGAGGGACGTCCGAAAGTCCGACTTGGATGTACGTGGGATGTCACCTGGATGAACAATTTCTTTGCACAGGCCCATCCTACGGACGTCCCCAGTACGTCCCTGGGATTTCTGCGGATATCCTACGGACGTCCCAATGTTCTTTGCAGGATGTCCACCGGATGTTCCTTGGATATCTATTGTCCAATGGGTTCTGCGGCGGCATCCAGAGCGAATTATTCCCTTTGCCTGACTGTGCATCGACCACAACTGGAGTTTACCCTTAGAACGGTGGAATATACACAACGCCACTCTTCAGGATAAAGACTGGACGAACAACGCCTTCGAAGGATGCAATACCGGGTTCCAGAAGCTCGTCGACGTTCGATAGAGACACCGTTATGTCCTTTAATTTAAATGCGGTCTTCAAAAGTGCAGATTTTTCGTCTAGAGAAGAAAAGCGTATTAATATTAGTCGTGTTTTATAGTCCAGATGCCTTCCGAGCCTGTGTACTTTTTCTATCGTTGATACCTTCACACCTAGCTTCTCGTCAAAAATCTCGGTAACCACTTTCTGGTTCAACGAAACGGGTGATTCAGTAGTGTCTTTCACCACACCGTAAACAATGAGGTTGTTATGCCGGCTCCGGTTTTCAACCCTTCCATTGCAGTGACGTTTCTTCCTAAATGCTGGACATAATTCTCGCATCTTTTAAGGTCAGGCTCTAGTTTTGAGAGACACTCAACTTTAGTTTCAATCGAGGATAGCCTTACTTCTGTTTGTCTAATGTGTTCGTTGAGTTTGTTCTTAATTTCTGATCGACATTTTAGCGAATAACGGGGGCGCGCGTTAACCCATCCGCCGCGCTGCGCTTACGCCGTTTCGCGGCGACAGTCTGGGGCGGGTCATTACAAATATGTGAACCTATTTGGCTCACCCGAAAACGCCGCTCCGCGGCGTCCGACTATTCGCTAAAGCGTCATTCGGAGAAACGCGGGCGTTCGCTAAAACGTCATTCGATCAAGTGAGTGCCACCCCACCCGCACCACTACCTTTTTCTCCTAATTTTTTCCCCGAGCAGCCAATGACTGAAACGGTCTTTCCCACCAGACTGCTGCCATCACCTTCCTATCAACTTTCATAGAGCATGGAACTTATCATTACCTTTAATGATTAAGATCTGTGGTATTTATGTATAACTTACCCTTTATGTAGTAAGTCATGCATGTCTCGTTAATATGGACCCCCTCAATATAGACATGACACCATTTTCAGGACCAAGCTGGGAATATACGTGCATTTTTGTCTCGTTAATGTGGACAACTCACAGTATAAAATTTTTTTTTTTGTTTGGGGGGGGGGGGGGGGGGGGGGCCAAAGATGTCTATACTAATGAAATGTCACTGCACCTCGAAGGACTTTTTTTATGTAAAGTGAAGTGGTGGGGTTATCAGCTGATTTGTGAGTACAGTGTTGCGATGATTTTTTTTTTAAAGACACATACTCGAAATTTTGCGGCGATGTGCGAGGTCGCGTAGAAATGAAGTGCTTTAATGCGAAAGCATTAACTGTCCCATGGAGCGAAGCCGGCGTTGCCCGTAACCGTCTGTGGCAGAAAAACAGCACCTAAATTTCCATTCCCAATAAGACACAAAGAAAACCACAGCAACACAGATGCCCTGTCAAATGCCGGCAGGTCCATTCAAAGTCAAAGCGAACGAGCTTCAGAAATAGAACACAAAGAAAAGCAAAGCAACGCAATGCTTCGTCAGGGAAGCCTTCGTGTAGCCGGCAGGGTTTGCCGCTCCTGCGCAGTGGGGTAGCATGTAGGGTGACCACCCTCCTGATAGTCAAATGCGGGACACGCTGACCGGGTGGAGGAAATGTATTACCATGCACACCACTAAATGTGGCTGAAAGCATATTATACACCTGCACAATGTATTGCGGCCATAACGCTCAAATAACTTTCACACCCAGTGATGTGTATATATATATATATAACGGGCATGGTGGCGGGAGGCCGAAGGCGTGGGTATGAAACTGAGAAGAAAAAAACCCTAAGTGAAAAACAGCAACAACGGACGATTTAATCTTCGACGTTTCGGCCGGAGTCCGGCCTTCGTCAGGAAGACGAAGGCTTCCTGACGAAGGCCGGACTCCGGCCGAAACGTCGAAGATTAAATCGTCCGTTGTTGCTGTTTTTCACTTAGGGTTTTTTTCTTGTCAGTTTTATATATATATATATATATATATATATATATATATATATATATATATATATATATATATATATATATATATATATAAATTTTAATGACAAGTAAGCTATTAAATGTGTCTAAGTTTAAAACATCAAAATTGACTGCAACAAAGCTCAGTGCATCAAAGGTAAAGAAGAAACAGTAAACCTTTTTTTCGGCTTATTGTTTCCTGTCGATATACTTTTACCAACATACTCTTACTCAAATTTAGAACATTATGTTTTTATTAAAACTTGGGTTTCGGCTAGTTGGCCCACACTGAATTAATAGGATAAAAGCGCGAACAAAACGAGGACAGTAATAAGGTGGAGAACTGGGCCAGTTGGTTGACGTTATACATGTACTGTCGTGTTTGTTCCTCTTCGTAGTCCGTGTTTTCTGAACTGTTTTCCCCATCAAGTAAAACGAGGACAATAAAGACACAAAGACGACAGGACAGGCGCTACCTCTTCACTAAAATAGTTCATATCAACCCAGTTGATGTGAACCATGACACAGTTTTACTTTAAAATAATTGCAATAATTTATATTTCACATTTTGGTCCACAATTTTCCCTTGCAATGCTTTTCCAGCAGGGAGAGGGGCATCACAGCACATGCGCGTCAATCTCCTGCAAGAACGACGGTCGCTTCCCGCAATGCTAGGATAGTAAATAGCGCACCATCGCATTTACACGATTATCAGAGACCTCCACGCTTCCCCGCGCCCCTTTGTTCGGCAGCGCCATGAGATAAATTGTGAATTTTACGACAGCGTGAAATACGGGACATTTTGAACATTTTTGGATTATCTTGCGGGACGCGGGACACAAGCCCTCAATGCGGGGCAGTCCCGCGAGTCGCGGAACGGGTGGTCAACCTAGTAGCTCGATGTCACCGCCAGAGCACCGTATGCGAAGAGAGACGTGGCACGCCGCTTGTAGGAATGCTTTCGCATTAAGTGTCTCCAAGCACGTCAGAATCAAAAACTTTCCTTGCTTCACCAGATCGTTTCTGGACACTGTTGGGGTTGGACACCGTTCTGGGTAGGCAAGCCCGACAGATTGTTTTAACGCCTCGACATGTATCACATTGATTTAATCACTGAGCAGCATGGGCACATTGTACTTCGCCCAACACCACCGCAAGCTCAACCCTATTGAGCTCGCCTGGAGTCTGCATGGTCAAACGGCATGCTGCAAGCCTGAATACAACGTTCAAGTTTAAAGACTTCGAAGCTCTCCTGCCTGCTGCCATCAACCAGGTGACTTCAGACAACTGGGCAGCTTACGTGAAGCACGCCCTGACCGTCGAGAAGAGGATGTGGGAACTTGACGGCTTGGGCAGCAATGCCGGACACAGCGTTGTGGTGCCGTTGTGTGAAGACTCCACCCCAGATGACTCAAGCGATGATCTGGGATGTGAATCACTACTTTGGTAATGGAGACATTTGCAAGGAGCTGTGCCAATCGACACTGCAGTCTGGCTTCACTATTTTTTAAACGGCTCTCTCAGAGCCACTAACATATCAAGAACAGAGCGACTCCGAATGCAATGCCCTGCGTGTCTCTGGTTTGTTGATCATTGCACGACTTAACTGCATACTTAAATTAAATATAATGAAATATTCTAATAAGCTACGGAGTGCCCGGTAAGATGATAACTCAGTAGATGATGGTTCTTACCTTTTCAAATTGAACCAGATACAGATCCAAGATTACGCCAATTTTCACTGAAACTTGGGCGCATATCTGTGTGCTTTTCTCCACAAGCAATCAAACTGAAATGGGTCCTTTGATGCGAGAAAGACCACTGTACAGGCGGCCGCGTTAAGGGTTTGAAAGGTAATCTGATAAGCACACATCTTTTTTATGCTTCTCTTCGTGTGGATTTGTCCCATGGAAAAAAAATCGAAATTCTCAACTCCGAAAGGTATCCGAGCACAGTGCTAAATACGAAAAGGTAACTTTATTCTCAAGGTAACTCTCAAGTTCAAATTTGTTGTGCAAATCAGTCAACTAACCACAAAAAAACTGAAAACAACTTGCAACAGAGAGTAGGAGTCTGTAAATGCTCATCATTTACATTCTCCTCCCCTTCACACCCCTGCATGGAAAATCACTCTCGCGCGAGTTGTTGATATCTACCAGTCTTCTGCAGCGATCCCTATCGGTATGATATTTGGAACTTAACAAAATAATAATAGAAGTAGGGCCTCGGAACAAAAATAGCTTCTGCAGGTCGACCTGCGCTTGTTTCTGAAGGAAACCTCAATTCAACAAAAAAAAAAAAAGAAAACGCGAGGTGTTTTGTCCCCTTGAAACCAAAACATTGCAAAAGTACTGGATGACGGTGTAAATATTTAACGTCATTAAATCAGGGATGGAACTGGGCAAAGCAGATTTGGAGCAATCTTGGGAGCAGAAAAAACTGCAGTTTGGAGCAGGCTGGGAGCAACACGAGGTCTTGGAGCAAGTTGGGAGCAGCATACGAGTTTCAAGAATGTTGAAATAGAGGCTAAATGTCATAGCTGGTTTCCAAAATTAAAGAAAATATGGCATGCAAATACCTTTAATAAACTTTTAGGTGAAAATATTTTTCACAAAATTATGTGCAAAAATGCGCAAAACATGAAGCAAAACTGCACACGACAGTGTGATACGTGATAATCCGACTTGGAAAGAGGACAGAATATAAACAGGTACAAATAGCTTTTATTGCTCAACACCGATTAGTAAGGTGTACTAAAAATAAAAATGCATGTACAAAAATTTTTTTTATTTTGGTGACTAGAGTAAGATAATAATTGTCCTTGTTCATATAAATCTATTGGGACTTCGTCTATTGGGCGTTAGCCTCCGCTACAGCACTTGTCCAGACTCAATCCACTCTATCTTTTTTTCTTTTTTTTCGAGACCCGATTCAATCAACGATTGTGCATGCGCATGCTCAAGCATAGTCCGCGAATAGATGATGCGCTGTTCAAGCTGACGGTCTTCTTCCTGAGGAGGAGAAGGAAAAACTTTATTTGTCTTAGGGTGATTGTTGTGCGGGCAGGATAGGGAGCTTATCCCCGCCTGGTGGCTAAGAGTCCATGAACCCCAGCGACCCACTCAGCCCGTTGGGTGACCCTGTCCTGAAGGACCGGGTCCGAGCTGAGCAGCGTGGCCTCCCACTGCCCCAGGGTAGCAATGCCAGGCCCGTCGGACCAAGGGTCCTTCGGGCAATTCCAAATGACATGGGTTAGGTCTGCCCTCCCATGGCATAGCGCACAAGAGGGGTGAAGAGGCCTGGGTGTATATGGGAGTAGAGGACTGGATTGGGATATGAGTTGGTCTGGAGCTGTCGCCACGTAGTGGCTTGAGCTCGAGGCAGGGAAGGGTGTGGGGGAGGGTAGATGCGGCCGCCTTACTCGATAATGGCTTGTGATCTCGTGGAAGGTGACCAATCGGTCCCGGGCCGTGCGAAACTCCATCCCAGGAGGTGCGGGGTCCCCAGCCCGGTCGGCGAGTCCTCGGGCGGAAGTATGAGCGGCCTCGTTGCCAGGAAGGGAGGAGTGCGCAGAGGTCCAGATTAGGTGGACAGAATGGTGAGGAGGGTGTGTGGTGAGAAGGCGTTGGGTGTAGGGGGAAACTCGCCCCTTCATGAAATTACGGATTGCTGTTTTGGAATCGCTAACGATTGTGGTGGCGGAGGTGTTGGTCATCGCCAGAGCCATGGCGAACTCTTCCGCCTCTTCTGAAAGTGTAGTCTAAAGAGTTGCGGAGGTCAGAAGGGAGCCTGCATCGTTAACCGCCGAGAGGGCAAACGCCTCTCGGCGGGTGTATTCAGCGGCCTCGACGTAGGCCACGTCCTCTCGGCCGCCGAGGCGCTTATGGAGGGCCTCGGCGCGTATATAAGGCGCCTCTGTTCGTGATATTGAGGGTGCATGTTTCATGGGATAAGATAAACCTGGAGTGATTGGCGGATATCGAGGGGTAGGGAGCATTTGTGAGATGGGTTGGATGGGAAGTTAATCTGCAGCGACGTGAGGATGTGTCGGCCCGCCTGAGTAGTGGATAGCCGTTCGTATTGTGCGGTGAGATGGGCCTCAGCTAATTCCTCGGCCAGATAACTTTTACATTAAACCGTCAATGTTCACTGAATGCCGAACAGGCATCCGTTTTCGTCTCGGTTTATTAACTTCTACACAAAAAATTAATGAAATATCGACTTTTTCTTTCTCTCCAACTGACCGCAAAACAAGCCGTGACGTACGCTGTTTCCGGAACCGGAAGTTCTCTCGGCAGTAGGAGAATGGGAGCGTTAGCGGCGACGAGTTGGGAAGCGCCGGTAGGTTTTACTGCGCTGATGTCACCAACGTATTTTATGAATCGGCGCATCGCAGCTGAGCGAAATTCAATGAGATATGTTGCGCTACAGCGACAGCATGGGGTCCTATACCCCGGTATGCCTGTTGGGAAGTGCGGCGAGTCTTCCGGTGAAGACTCCAGAAGTCAACCCAACTGTCATTGTTGGTAAAAGGCGTCCCGTGTCAGTCGTTTGCAAAGCGACGTAGATGGAAACAAATTGCCGCGGCGTTTTTCGTTCCTCGGAGATGCAGGAGCGAGCCGACGTTAAAAAAGATACGTTTGAACTACGAGTGTCAGCAAGAGCCACGTAAATACCTGTTCACACTCGGAGCGGATGCGCGCGTTTGATGAAAGTGCTGTATTCACGCTGTTGGTAAGCGCTTCGGGACCGATCTTTTACGATTGCAACTCGATACTGACGCGACACTCGGCAAAGAAAGGTTGGACCGGCATTGGATGTATACCTTCCACGAACTGTTATAGCTCGACAGTGACGTGCAGTCTGTCAGAATAAAAATGGCATACCAATAACAAAGTGCACATACATTGTTACGAAGGTAATCCATACGGCGTTTATTTCAGCTTTATGTCACACAAAACAAGAATATAGAATCGACGAGAGTCCCTTTTCGACGAGTGTTCGTCAACACTGCCCCGGAAAACAAGGGAAAGAGATTGACCTCACCTCTTAATCTAAAATTGAGGTCAGCGATCAAACTATAATACGGGAAGGGTCCACAAGGGTAGCGCGGGCATATTCCATTCAGCACGCCAGCCGGTCGTAAGCAGACGGTCTTGCGACGAAGCAACGCTGCGCCGAGTCGGAGTGCCTGCTAGGCCTATATTCTGTGCAGCTCGCTTCGTCGGAGTCGGTGATTCGTGGCCATTGTCGTTCTTCTCGAGTGTTTGCGGATCCAGCGTTCTTGCTCGTCAAGGTCTGTTTTAAGTACTTTTTTTCTTGCTGCTTGAAGTCGGCACGCGCGAGAAGAACACGTAGAAAAATGAACGTTCAGTCAGTCAGAGTTTTGAGAGGAAGGAAAGCAAAGGAAATAAACGTTCGTCGCGACCCAAGCGACCCAAGTAACTGAAGCCGGCCCTGCCCTACTGCGCACGCGCAGTAGTTGCTTCGTTTACCACACGATAGATGGCGCTTGGCTCTCAGCATTATCAAATTTGGCAATTTTCGCCACACATCTCTAATTACGCTACAAAATGTGGATCTGAATATTATTTAACAAAACTTTTAGGAAACATTCACCGTCTATTTATTGTTTACGATCGCGGTGCTGGTGAGGTAGGCTCTTACCCAATAGGCGACATGGATTCGGCTGATGTGCTCCGTTTCCGCGGATGCATCGTAGGGAAAAGGCGAAGGAAAGAAGGCGCAAAAGAGTCCAGTTTTCTTTTAAAAGTTCTATAGCAAATCATTTTTTTTTGGCTCCCTATTTTTGTGTTTTTGTGTTTCTTTTCACACCTTTTACGACATGCGGTGGATGAAATTCGATATTAAAATCATTTCATGGTCCCTTTAAGGAGTCTATCGGTGGAGGTAGAGGGCGAGAGGCTGAGGGCCACCTTGTAGGTTTTTCTAATAAGGGCGTTAACTTTGTCGAGCTCTGCTCGCGGTAGGGGAAGGTAGGGAGTGGAGAAGACAAGTCAGCTAATCACAAAGGCTTGGACCAGCCGAAGCATCTCCTGCTCCTTGAGGCCAAGATGTCGTGAGGAGATTCGATGAATGAGTCGCAGCGTTTGATCTGCGCTTATTTGTAGTTTTTGCAATGCTTGTGCGTTCTTGCCATTGTTTTGGATTAAGAGGCCCAGAACTCGTATGGTAGGAACTTCAGGGATGAGATGGTTGTTTACTTGTAACCTGATTTCGGGAGGGGTCATGGCCACTCTGCTGGGGCGCGGTAGGAGGAGTTCGGACTTTTGTGGAGAGCAAGATAAGTTGGCCGCTCCCGCGTGTACTGCTACGATGTCCACAACGGACTGTAGCGTGGCCTCAATGTGTCCATCGCTGCCACCTCCCATCCACAGCGTAATGTTGTCTGCGTAGAGACTATAATGAGGTCCCGGAAGGGTTTTAAGTTTAGCAGGAAGGGGTAAAAGGGCTAAGTTAAAAAGGAAGGGGGAAAGTACGGAGCCTTGGGGGTACCGCAGCTTCCCAGTTGTATAGACCTTTTCATTTCAGTAGTTGCCTGACCGGCGGGTAGAGGGCGCTGGCGCAATCGCCGCCATTAGGTTGCTTCAATTTGGTCGGTTTCGGTTTCAACGTGCACGCGATCGTGGTGCTGTTTCATGCCACTTTCGATTAATTTTGCGAAATGAATTTCTTTCTAGTAGCACACAGCGAATGAAACAATAGTATTGAGCCACTTGGCAAACCACGAAGTGGTTTCGAGCCTAAATTGCGATCTTTTTTTTTACGAACACTATATGCGTCTGATTCCGTCCATCCTTAAATGCGGCCAGTTTCGGCGGTGAAACAACTGCGCTGATGCACAGGGAGGAGTACCGTTGTCTACAGCCGTACCCGCGGACACTAAGTTCAAGAAGAAAAAAAAAATTAAGAGCAGGACAAGCTTCCCCTGCAGCGTGCGCTCTTGCCTGCCGCAGTGCTTTGACTGTGTGTGCACCGAGCGGTACGGAAGGTAGGTAGCTCGCACTCAAGTCAGATATCGAACTGATCATCTTATATTGCAACAGACTATATTGCATGAGTGCTTAGTGAAAAAGCAGGTCGACAACATGATTACCAATCTGCTGAATCACCAAGAACAGATGAACTGACATGTGGTGTTACTGCAATCTAGTTGAGTTTGGACTTGCTAGGGTTAGCCGCATCGCGTTGGCATCAGTCTGTGCCGTGTGTTTTTCTTCCTTTTTTGTTTTGGACTCGTTCGATCTGGGATCACCATGTAACGCGCTACTACGAAGCACCGTCTTTTACGGTGGTTGTTATGGATATAAAAGTACAGTTTTTCTATGACATCCAGTCGTTCGCTACCTGAGGAGTGGCCGCTCGGAGGCGCGCCATGGAATCAGAATAGTAAAAGACGGTGAACGCCAAGTGAGCGCGTCGGAACGTTAGGCCTCGCCACCTCGGTTCAGCTCGAACTCGAACGCGGGACGCCGCCACGCAGGCTTGGACGAGATGGACCCTTCGGACGGGGACTCGGCGGCTGGTCACGTGAGTGAGAACGCCATAAAGGATCAACCGCCACAAGACTCGAGACCGCGAAGAAAAAAAACGTTGTCGCAGAAGGCCTTGCTTAACTACGAAGCGAACCGGGACGAGCAACGTCAAAAGCTCGACTGCGTCTGGGAGGGCATCGCAAACGACCTTCGGGAAGTTGAACAGGCTACAAACGCCGAAACGCAGCAAGCGGCGACGGGCCGTATCCGAAAAGAGTACGGTCGTTACCAAGCGCTGTCGGAACGCTACGTGGCCTACTTGTCGGGGATCAACGCGGAACAAAGCCAGCTAGAGCTAGCCCTTCAGAAGACAACGGATCGCGACAGAGCTCGCGCGGTTCAGAAAGCCTTGATGGACACCGGAAAGACGCCCGACCGCGCCACGAAGTCTCGGGACTTGGAACACGCTAACTCGGAGCACTCGTCGAAGTCTGCCGGGCCACGACTTCACGGCT